CCAGCCCCTCCCTTCTCTCCAGAAGTATTCCCCAACCCTGACATTCACGGTAATTGCCTCTTTCTGTTCCTCTTTTTTTTTTTTTTGAGGCAGGTTCTTGCTCAGTCACCCAGGCTGGAGTGCAGTGGTGTGATCATGGCTCACTGCAGCCTTGACCTCTTGGGCTCAAGTGATTGTCTCCCCTCAGCCTCCTGAGCAGCTGGGACTATAGGCATTCACCACCATTCCCTGCTAATTAACAAAAAACTTTTTTTTTTTTTCTGTAGGGACAGGGTTTTACTATGGTGCCAGGCTGTCCCAAACTCCTGGGCACAAGCGATCATCCCTTCTCAGCCTCCCAAAATGTTTGGCGTTACAGGTGTGAGCCACCACACCTGGCCTCTTTCTGTTTCTTTAGAGTAGAGCAGCCCTAGTATGCATCTCTAGCCCATAACTGTTCCCCAGTGTTGTTATGTCTTTTAAGCCTCTTTCAATCTCCAAGTTTGTTGGCTGGGTGAGTGCTCACACCTGTAATCCTGATGTGATAGGATCATCTAAGTTCAGAGGTTTGAGATCAACCTGGACAACACAGGGAGACTCCTGTCTCTACAAAAACTAATTTTCTTTTTTTTATTTTTAACTCCACTCAGGCTGCAGTGCAGTGGTGTGATCTCAGCTCACCGCAACCTTCGCCTCCTGGGTTCAAGCCATTCTTCTGTCTCATCCTCCTAAGTAGCTGTGATTACAGGCACATGGGACCATGCCCAGCTAATTTTTGTACTTTTAATAGAGCTGGGGTTTCACCATGTTGGCCTGGCTGTCCTCAAACTCCTGACCTCAGGTGATCTGCCCACCTCAGTCTCCCAAAGTGCAAAGATTGGGATCACAGGTGTGAACCACCATGCCCGGCCAAAAACTAAAATTAAAAAAAAGACACAATCTACAAGTTTCTCCTCTATCCCTTTTCCTTTTTTTTTGGAGACAGAGTCTTGCTCTGTCACCCAGGCCATAGTGCAATGGCACAATGTCAGTCCACTGCAAACTCCAACTCCCAGGTTCAAGTGATTCTCTTGCTTCAGCCTCCTGAATAGCTGGAATTACAGGCATGTGCTACCACACCTGGCTAATTTTTGTATTTTTGGCAGAGATGGGGTTTCTCCATGTTGGTCAGACTGGTCTCAATCTCATGACCTTGTAATATGCCCACCTTGACCTCCCAATGTGCTG